AATCTGCATTGCTTCAGCAGTAAAAAAATCACACAAATGTGATTGTTAAGCAAAATTTTAACTTTTATTTATACATTGGCTTGCCAGCATTTGAAGGCAAGGAACTTTCATTTTAAACTGGAATTCGTAACCAAATATTATCGGTTTTGTGTGACACGTTTACAAAAACAAACACCCAGACGATGTAAACTCCAAAACAATAACAAAACTGGAATTGCCAAAGATTTACAAACAGCTCAGAACAAATCATAGCAACAGGTTTTCAAACCTGTTCAGTTTTACAAAAAATTTGCCAATTTTTCACAATTTTAATTTTTGTTTTTTTTTTTTGCTCAAACATCTAACATCTGGGCGAAAAAATGCAATCAAGTTGCTGCATAAACAAAAATAAATAAATACGTAATATAAATTTAAGAAAACTCATAATATATAATGGTTTTGAGAGATTGAAAGTAGTAGCACACATTTATTGGCCTCCTTATGCACAAATATGTACATATGTTTGTCTGTATGTAAGTAAAGTGAATTGTAGTTGCGTATGTATGTACATATAAGTAGAAACACGTGACATTCGCTTATTATAAATACATATGTACATACATACTTACATATGTGAGTCTGTATGTAAATATCTTCAACTAATTCTTAAGCACAAATATTATAGTAAGTTTCCACCGTACCCCACTTTTAGACAAAAAAATCTAAGAAAAATGTGCAAAAAGATGGCATAGCTGGCAACCATAAGAAATAATACATATCGAAACAAAATAAATTTACGCCCATGTTCAAATATGTACATAATTAAAAAATACCTAATTTAATACAAGTAACTATTCAGCTGGCAACCCTATTAATTTTCACGAATTCGGTTTTCACACAAATTTTTTAGAAGCGTACCGAAAAGTCTAAAGCGCATATAGGGGTATTTCAATAAGACATCAGTTGTTCGCATTGTACGGGACAGTCCTTTTTTTCGGTAACTGCCCTGGTAATTTATTTATTTTATGCGGGCAACCAAATGTTATGTACATTTTTTTAATATCCTGGGCTCGTATCGTCACATACAATATTGTACTATTCGTAACGTAACAAAGACATATTTCGGATTATGACATACGTGATCGGAGCCTTTGTCCCATTCAGGGCCCGAATCGTCACATACGATATCGTACTATTCGTCACGTAAAAATACATTTTTTGGATTATGACGTATCACGTGATTTTCTTTCATATCGTTTTCGATCCGTGGACGGATGTTTGGATTCGAGCCCTGGATTCGATTCGAGTACTTTTTATGAGATAAATAATAAATCACAGGATATTTGTTTGCCAACAAATTTTCGACACAAAAAGATTTTTCCCACTATGCGCTCAAATAAGGCACATTAAAATTCGTTATGCTTCAGGTGTCAAGCAGTTGGAAAGAAAAGTTGTTTATGTTCCTTCAGTTCACGAGTTCACAAGAGACTGCACATAGTTCATGAAACTTCACTTTTTGCTTTTGCTTTCGTTTGACAGGAGTTTTATAAAAAATTATGCAAAACGAAGAACAATTTAACATATAAACAGTTAGGAAAAAATGTATAAATTTTACTTGAATCTAAGCGAAGCGGCAACGCTAGACACAGCTACAAATTAGAAAATAAGAACAAGAGTGTTATCGTCGATTGAACGAATAGATTTGATTTTATAGAAAACGGAAAAAATTCGACCATCGAGCAGGAAACATTGATTTTTATTAATTTAAATCAGCATTCCTACATAAAAATTTGTATGCATATAAAGTCCATTAAATACTCCGATAAAACTTTGGTGCTTTTTCCGAAAAAAAACGCGATTTTTCTTGGGTTTTAGTGCTTTTTCAAATCCAAAACTTGGCAACACTGGTGAAGATAGACCTTTGCACGTATTATTTTCCAAGAAGTACGTTCCTATGACTCCGCCAGCTGAAGAACCACACCAAACAATCACTCGTTGTGGCTACCATAGTTTTTTTTTTGCAGCTGGCGCAGTTCTGCTTGGTAACGTAGTAGTTTAGGTAAAAATGTGTCTCATCGCCCTCGATGCTTATTTTTTTTTTTTTATCGGCATCAACGTTTGGATACCTTTTACGCGTTGTTCAACTGAGTATCGCTCTATGACTAAGTTTGCCAAAGTCTGTCTGCAAAAATTTAAAAAACATGCACATATCAGAAATAATTGCTGTCAAAGATCTGAATAACTCTATATTTGCACAACCCCATTTTTAGTTATCTGCATTTAACTGCTAGCTGAGAATCATAAATCAATTATTCAATCATTACATACGTTTTATTGTCGACACACTCGCCACACCACCCAGCCCGTGCTCATATGGCTAATTTACGCCATCATACAAGCACGACTCCGTGGCGCAACGGTAGCGCGTCTGACTCCAGATCAGAAGGTTGCGTGTTCAAATCACGTCGGGGTCAAAATGTGTAAAAATATTTATTTTGCAGGACTTTTTTCTGTTTTAATTTAAATTAGTACGAAAATAAAATTAAAGAAAATGCAATTAGAAAGTTATTACTATTAATGCTAGAAAAGTTATTACTAAAATAAAAATTTAATTCATATTTTATATTTTAGTACAGTAAAAAGCAAATTAAGAATCTTTAAATAAATATGATAATCTCTAAGCAAATTTAGCATAACTTTTTATTCATCGCTTTTACTTTTTAACCAAATATTTTAAGTTTCAATACATTTCGGTTACGTCAATTACGAAATTAAAAATTTACATCGAAATTTATACCACAACAAAATTTAAAACGCATTTGCTAGCCACATTTTCTTCCAAAGGAAACACTATTTAAAGATTTTCAATTTCACACATTCCTTTTTTGTTTCTTTTGACATTTAGCCAAAATTGCTGCGCTTAAAATTTTTGTACTATAGAAATTTTGAAAAATATATATTTTTACAAACTTGCACGTACACAGATTGCAAATTTGCTACATTCTCTTACGATGCTTGCATTTTTTCTCTTACTCTCTTGAAGAGTAAAAGCTTTTCGCATTTAAGCTTTCTGCAGCACAAGTTCAATGTCAAAAAGCACATTTTACTTACTCTCTTCTTCTCTTGCTTATTTTGTTGACTGAGGTTTTTATCTATTGACTCAGTGCTTGTGTTTGAAAGCGTCATTTGCGCTCCAATAACTATATGACTCCGTGGCGCAACGGTAGCGCGTCTGACTCCAGATCAGAAGGTTGCGTGTTCAAATCACGTCGGGGTCAAGTCGATTGGATTTGTTTTATTTTTTTAATTTTGAACACGAATATGTATACTTTTTACTTACTCTGCCTTATCCTGAGATTCGCCTGAAAAAAAGTTGACCAGAAAATTTGTCATCCGCCCATAGTAAAATCACGGAAACCAAGAGTGAAAAGTGAACCGGTTCGCGAAAACTGAAACTCATGATAAGGCTGACAGTTTTTTTATAATCAGGGATATGAACCGGACAAAAAATTTGGTCGCGGTTCGAAACGGTTTTGCACCTTTGGATTGGTTTCGATTATCGGGAATTAAAAAAAAAAACAAGGAGGTAATCATTATGAGTAAAATAATTTAAATCAGCATTTGATCATTATTTTATGATTTTCATTTTTTTCGCTTAAAAACAATTATTACTGCTCAGTTTTATTTTTGCGCCCAACGGAAATAATTTTTATTTGATTTTAATTTTTTTTGATCACAAATAATGATTATTTTATGAGTTTTAGTTTTTCGCTCAGAGATAATAATTCTTATTGAGTTTTATTTTTCTATTTTTTGTCTATTAAAAATTAGGCGAAACGTACGTTAAGTCTTTATAAAAAGTGGTTCCGATCAAACATTTATAAAAAAATTCGGTTCAGTTAATTAGTAAAAAAGCGATTAATCCGGTTCACGTCCCTGTTTATAATCAGACTTATGATGAGTTTCATTTTCCCCGAACCGGTTCACCTTTCAGTTTTCGTTTCCATGTATTTACTATGGGCGGATGGAAAATATACGCGTGATTTTTTTTCGGGCGAAACTCAGGAATGTGTAAATATTTTTTTTGTGGTTGTTGTCACAAAATGCATACCTTATTTTTAGCTGAGAGTATTTTGATGCGTAGGCCGCATATAGGAGCCGAAAATATTTCTTCCCAAATCAGTAGCTTTTTACAAATTTCATTCAAGTTCAACAATTACATATGCATGTATCAGGAGATCAAAAATATTCAAATTGGCACCAAAAAAAGTATAATTCGGTGTTATATATATGGGTTCTATTGCTGAAGCCATGGAGGTACGATTTTCGATAAGTCTAATCAATCACTAACTTCCAATTGCAGCTAACGTTTAACTAAAAAATGTGCCATACAAAATTAAAAAAAAATAAGAAATTAGTTCGATTATACTTATTAGTTAATTATCACATGCAAAATTTTGTTTTTGACATTGCAAGCTTTAGCACAGAAAATTAGAGAAAAACGCTCCCCCTGTAAAATTTAGTGTTTACCATAATTTCGCGAAAAGGAGTAAATATGTAAATTGTAGATTTTACTTTTTGTAATAAAAAATGAAAACATACTATTGGGAATGGTCACAACGATGTCAGAGAACGTAAATTTATACTTTACGTAATTTATACTTTACGTTCTCTGGCGATGTGTTTGTTGGTGAGGGGTAGCATGCACGTGCTTATGTAGTGCATTTGCTCAAGTTCGGACACATGACTCCGTGGCGCAACGGTAGCGCGTCTGACTCCAGATCAGAAGGTTGCGTGTTCAAATCACGTCGGGGTCAATGGAAAATTTGTTTATTGATTTTTTTTTATAAAATTTTACTTTATGTTTAGTATGTATATTTATTTTTTATAACAATTTATAAACTTCTATAGTCTTAAATACAAAAATTCATGATATTGTGTTATTTATTCGCACTCTCACTCCATTTGTATGCAAGTATGTATGTATGTATATTAATAATTATTATTTTTCTTGCTCTAAGATGTTCTCAACGGCGCTGTCTTCGATGAGGATCACGATGAAATGGTTGTCGTTAAGGACATTGAAATGTTCTCTATGTGCGAACATCATATGGTACCATTCTATGGAAAAGTTTCCATCGGCTATTTGCCATGCAATAAGATATTGGGACTCAGCAAGTTGGCAAGGTGTGTAAATCAAAAATAATTAAATAATGTTTTATGTACATATGTATATAAAAATATTCATATACATAACTTACAATTATTTTTGGTTTTTTTCTTCTTTCAGAATTGTGGAGATCTTTTCACGCCGTCTGCAAGTGCAGGAGCGCTTGACTAAGCAAATTGCTGTCGCCGTCACACAGGCTGTACAACCGGCTGGTGTTGCTGTCATTATAGAAGGAGTGTAAGTTTTAAGTCATTTATTATTATAATTCTTATTTTATTGCCAATACATCAACATTTTATTGTTAATCATGTTATTAATATGCACGCTCTTATAACTATATATTTTATTTTATTCGCTTATTTTCAGTCACATGTGCATGGTTATGCGTGGTGTGCAGAAAATCAACAGCAAAACTGTTACCTCAACCATGTTGGGTGTCTTTCGTGACGATCCCAAGACTAGGGAGGAGTTCTTGAATCTTGTGACCAGCAAATAAGTGGAAATACGAATAGCTGGACAACTAAACGGAAGATGCTACATGCTTATTTGAATACATTCCAATGAATCGATTTACATACAAAAAGGCGGAAATTTTTATAACGAATGCTGCTATTATAAAATAATTTAAAGAAAAGTATATACATATGTACCTTAATTTAAGTTGAATAATGCATATATATAATAAATCTATCGTTTATAAAAGAACATTTAACTAAAATTAAAAAAAAAAAAAGTTACGAGAAGATCTGTTTTGTATTGGGCGTACTTAAATGAGAAGCACGTAAATCATATTGAAAGTTGGTTAGGTAAATACTTTTTGAATGTCATGCAAAAGCGAAATGGAAATAAGAACATAAACAATATGTGTATGTATATGCAATATGTAAAATAACACTTAATACAAATAAAAAGGCAAAAGTTTGAGGAATATTTGGGGAATCAAACGAAATGCATAAATTGAAAATAGGTTTATTACAAAAGTGAGTCAAAAATGCAAAATATTAAGAGAAAAACTCTACCGCTGGAAAACATGTATTGAAAATACATGTAATATTTGACGTTTAACAATAACAAAGCTTTAAGAGGAAATTGAAAATTCTTAATAGAAATTACTTTAACTTAGTAAGCAACGAAAATAAGTTTACCAATATAATATCGTTACTTTCAATTTATTACTGCTATTAGAAAAAAAGGTATTGCAAAAAAAAAGTTTTTTTTTTAAGTTTTAATCTGAAAAAAAACTGTAAAAATGCTTCTCCCTATATCATGTTCTTTTCGTAATATGTTGAAGCAAAATCCTGAGTAAAAAACTTCAAAGAATGATCAAAGCACCTTGGGTTGCTGCAAATCGTTTAGGGAATTTACACAATCAAATGAGTTTACAATAAAATATACATATAATATGTATGTACATACATACATACATACCATATTTAAGAAAAATATACGAAAGGATGTTTACATCATTCCATTAAAAACGTATGTGTATTTAAAAATTGATATATTTAAAATAAAACACATATAAATATGTAAGCATATTAATACTCAGAAAATGTAGAAATCACTGCGTTCATGAAATTTATTGTATGAAGTAAAATAAGGAAAACTATAGAAAAAATAAAGTTAGGCAAATTCACATGTTGCAGACATTTTAAAGTATAAAAACGTACATACATACATCCATACTTCGAGACATTCGTATATAAATTGTTGTTCATTGTAAGAAAAGTTCAAAAACGAATAGTTATATTCTTTACTGTTTATCGCATGAGATACTTATTAAATAAATGAAATAAAATGGTTGCTATATAAGCAAAAAATTGTGTTGTGTATGATTCTTCTGTTGGACATGTTCAAAGGAAATGGTAAAAGCTAACTCAAGGGTATTACTTTTAATGAAAAATATTAAAGAACTTAGTATCCTCCGTGCTAGCTCTATTTGATAAACTCGGAATGAAACCCCCTTAGTTATTTATTTGTCTGTTTTTTTTCCTTCATAGTAATAGTCAATAATAGAAAAAAAATACCATGCCGGGAAATTTGGTCCTTTCTCTAACAAACGAGCTGTTTTCCGTCTAACGATCACAATAATGGCCTCTTAAAATTTTTTTTTTTCAAACAGCAGTTTTACAAAAAGTAAATATTTCTTTTAGACTTATCGGCTTATATAACTGAAGCAATACCAATTACTCTCGGAAACCCTATATTGTCTAACCCGAGTACCAAAGTTGGCGCTGATGTGAACTACATTTTACTAGCACAGGGTTGCATTCAGTACAATTTCTGATAAGCAACTATTGTGAATTTTTCCTAACCCTTTCGCATATTTTTCAACACCTTTGCAGCAGTGCAAGTTAGCAGCGAAAGTTGATTTGTGTTTATAGACATTCAAGTATTAAAAAAAAAATTAAATTAATAAGCAATTAATAAGCAAGCGATACTTTTCGTACTGAAAGATTTGTGAGAAAATTTTCACACACAAACATTGTGCATTGCAACGCTGACGCTGAATTTACTGATTAGCTGCTGCTAGCTTTTGGAATGCATTCGTGTGTGAAGCAGTACAAGGCAATGAACACATAAAAGTGTGCTGCTGTGTTTACATAGTAGCGCTGAATCTCATCGTAATTTTCAACAAACTCGCATTGTAAGTGTTATGCAAGCAACAAAGTTTAATAATCTTGCCAATTTGATCAATGAAAATGTGATTATGTACTAGAATTAGCATGAAGTTCAGTGTGAAAATCGTTTGTAAAAGTCACAATAGTTGGTAAAAGGAGTCTCCGAACGTAAACGTTCGAAAACGATTGTCCTCTGCTCTGCCGCGGTGCGTGCTGTACCGCTGCTGCTGCATTGGCTGCTTCACACAACGTGGTGTTTTTGTTGCTCTTGCCATGTTGTGCTACCGTGAATTGGGAAAACTTTTTTTTTATAAATTTGTTTGGACATATGTGTGCAGCGCCGATAGCCATTGTGAATGTGGTCGTTTTTTCGCTGTGGTCACGTACTCTCTTGTGCTGTGCAATTTTGTTATAAATTTGGCAGTTTTCCTCGAGAAAAATTATTGCGAAATAGTCGTATTTAACCCAAATCAAGTACAATTCCCTAATAAGACTGTATGTGCATAAAAATGTTGTGTTAACAAAGTGAAAGACCTTAAACGATGCAAATAACCAGAGGTTGACATTGATTGGTGAGTCGTTTTTGTACTATTTTAATCTTTTTTCAATAATTTTCACAACGATATTTACCTGTGTACATGCAGTTCTTAACGTCTACACCGTTTGTTCGTAAAGAAAATACAATTAGTGTAAGAAACAGTTTAAATTTAATCGATTTATAGCCAATCTATTGCGCGTACCATTTAGTTGGTGAGCTGCAAAGGGTTTACGCTTTCCACTTGTGGGGGAAGTGAGCGTTTATCTATTGTGTAGAGTTCCCAGCAGTCGGATGGGCTGTAAAGCTTTTACTTTGTTATTTTGTTTACATTTTTTCAATTAATCCCATTAATTATCTACTACCAGAGGATTTGTACTTGCTTGTGTATGCCTGTGGGTTTGTAGCTGTGTGTGTGCTTGCGGCGTGATTCTGCTGTAGGTAGTGGTATTTTCATAATACCCAGGTGCTTTTCATTAGCCAACTTGCCAAGCCCCCTTCTGCGAATATTTGGTTTTCAATGTACTTTTCAGTTTTTAGTTCTTTTGTTTGTAGTATTTGCATTTTTTGGTGTCTTGTTGGTGTTTTTTCTATTCTGTAATGTGTGGAATTTTGATGAAATTGCTTGTCCTAGTGCTGCCAAGGCCGGCTTTAATTGCCAAGTATAGCAAGTGTTCACGAAGTGATTACCATCTTGAAATGGAAAATGATCCAAGTTCTAATTGCAATTATTGTTTTTTTTTTTAATAATTAAAACCTATATTCATTTTTCATTTTATTCTCCATTCCTACACTAGCTCGCTGAAATACTTAAATTTAAACATTGCCAAAGGACACAGGATGCGTTTTCAGTGCTGCCTAGTTTGTTTGTTTTATTTGTGTTGGTTAACTTTCCCTTTTGGTGATGCCAGATGATTGACAAACATAAGGCTAGTATTCACGTACAAATTGAACTGAAGATCAAAACCCTTCGTTTAAACAAAGTACAAAAATAATAACTATGGGGGTATCCCTTGCATGGTGCAGGGATTGCACGGTTTGCAAAGCTGTCGCATACGAAAACCGGTTTTTACCGTGAAATCTGTGCATCATGCAGGTGCTTTGCAAGACTCAAAGAATACCCCTAATGCATTAAAATACATTAATACATTCATATGCACGTATTTACGTCAAAAAAAGAGGTTAGAAACTGCATAGGGTCAGATTGCGGACTAACAAAATTAGTTTAGAATATAAAACTGCATTCCGTGCTATCTTCAGTAACAGCATAGAAATTCCCCGAGCAATTCGATGGTATTTATTTATTTATTAAATTATTTATTTATACATTCTTTTACTCCAATCGGCTGTACACTATATCGTTGACTGTTACGACGTTTATACGTAAGCTATTTGCAAATAAAAATAATTTGATAATTCCCAACTCACTGTTTATTCGACGGTGAAAAATTTTTATTTAATATTGTCTGATTATAAAAACACAATAAGACGACCATCGAAAAAGAAAATAAACCGAAGAATGGCGGCGTCTTGTGCTTATTTGCAATTAGTACCACTAATCAATACTTATTTGCGTGATTTGGTTATTTGCAAATAAAAAATTAACTCAGCGTTTATACGGACAAGTTTGCCATTTTGCAAATTGTTATTTGCAAATAATACGTGCGTATAAACGTAGTATGTATTAGCTATTCGATTCCTTGGTTCGTAGCAAATAATTTTTTGCTCTTCTTATTGTACCTAATATCCTTTTAGATCTTAAGCCAGGTTTATTACAAACTAGTCAAAATTGTTCCAGGATTTCCGGGGAATCGATTTGACCGTTAATGATTTTATAAAGAGGACTAGGTCCGATTCCTCCCTCCGCGTTTCTAGCTTCTTAATCTTTAACATAGATTTCTTCAAAGCTCATACTAGCTCGCCTTCGCTGCAAAAGATATAAATGTGCTTGGAGAGTTTATATTGTATTTTTTTCCAATTTACAAATTTGTGTGCTGGTACTAAGTGCCCAAATTGTCGAACAGTATTCCAATATTGGCCTCACTAGTACAGTGTATAATAATACAACTGTTGTAGGATTGTTGAAGTCGTTCTAGATCTTAAAATAAAACCAAGGACCTTGTAAGCTTGAGATATCGAGCTGGTTCATCTAAACTATCTTAACGCCGTGCGATGGCCTACTAAACTTTGTACATTTTTTCTCTATTTAGTTAGGGAGTTAAAGGCAATAAATAGGCGGCAGTCAGTTCTTGTGACAGAAAACAAGTTCCCAAAGAGTTTTTGGGGAGTGATGCTGGAGTGGCGGTCCTTGGGGAGAATCTCGGTTGTTCCGGTTACGTAGACCCGTAGACCGTAGAGTGTTGTAGGAACGAATAGGCAATCGGTGTTTAAGTTTATACAAATCCTTGTCGCTCTAGTAAATCCCTTGAACAATATTCTTTGTAGAGATACGCTGGCGAATAAAGTGTGTAGAAAAGATCTACAGTGTAGATCTACAGGAAAGCAAAAAGAAAAATGTAAACAAAAGTATTAGCAGCAGGGTTGCCGCTTTAGTAAATTCTTACCGAAATTGGTAGTACAAATTTGGGTTGGTAAAAAGTTACATATTTTTCATTTTGGTAGATTTTTGTTGAAGTATTTTGTTGGCAAACAAGTAATTTTTAAGCAAAAAAAACGACTTCAATTCTTATATAATATCTCAAATATCATATCATTAGTCAAACAAAAAGTTCTTTAAAAAGAATTTTAGTTTTTATTGAAATAAATACAAAAAATTTATTGGTAGATATTTTTTAGATTTGGTAATTTTTTCAGTTGGATGGTAAGTATTTTTCTTCGATCGTGGCAACCATGATTAGCAGTAAAAGAAATAATCGTAGAGTGACAGTTCACAATAGATTTGGATGACAGTTTGTCGGCGGCGCAGCGAGCATAATTATTTTGATTTGCTTTACAATATTTATTCTACTTTTTTTGTTTATCTGAT